GTGTTTGGAATACATATTGATATTATTTTGAACAAGAAGTATGCTAATGAATTGAGAAGCAACAGTCAAAATACCAATTTCTTTTTTTTTTATCTTAAAGACGTTCAGCTACTCAATTGATAAATAGATCGATTGATAGATTAACTCACAGCTCTTTTTTGTAGAATGAATATACTTTCAATATCAGCTGTTGTTCCCCAGAGTATAATGCCGTATGATAATTTACTATGAAAGTAACTAAAACAGTCCTGGCAGTATCTGTATCAGTAAGCTGTCTTGTCTTTCTTATGGCATAAGCTGCTGAACTAAATTTGCCAGCCAAAAGCGTAATGTGATGATTATATTGCAGTTTTGAGTCTATCGTTAATACCCAAGAATGTAGTTGTGTCTACTAAGTCTAATTTTTCATTAATTAATTTAATTCCAATATGGTAATTTTTTACATAGATAAAGAGAATTGAATACACTTGGTTTTATTAGCATTTAGCTTTAGATAATTTACATTAAACCATTGCAGAACTTGTGAGAGAGCATTATTAACATCATCATAGTTGTTCTTACGTCTGTCAATATTGAATAATAAAAATGTGTCTTCCGCAAATAATACTATCTCACACTTTTCCACAAAAAATGGCAGATCATTTATATACTAGAAACAGGAAGTGACCCAAAATTGAACCCAGGAGAACGCCCATTTCCACATGATCCAGATAATCTAACACCATTTACATCTACAGTTAGAATTCCGGAACTGAGATACGACTACATCAATTTATAGGCAGTATCTTTGTCTCCATAATGACTCAATTTCAACAAACAGCGTGTGATGATCAACGCAATCAAAAGCTTTGGATAAGTCGCAGAACACTCCAAGAACATTCTGCAACGTCACCCAAATCTCTATTCAGTATACTCCTTACAAATGCAACGCCCGCATCAGTTGTAGATCTACCTCTAATAAAAACAAATTGTTTCCTATGCAAAAGTTTATTTAGGTTGTAATGAGGCATTAATTGTTCTAGAATAATACTTTCAAATATTTTACAAATACCGGTAATATTGATTAGGTTTGGATATTGTCTTTAAGCTCAGTTAAAACCTGGGCTGGTCAAGCTTTATTATTATAGTTAATATTGCTTTTACTAGAAATACTAACATTATTTTGTCGAGTAGAGTTATTTATACCACGTATAACCGTATTTTGTTTTGTATCTTTAAAACTATTAAATTAGCTATTAGCTATCTATCATTTCATTTCATTCATTCATTCATTCATTGATAATCTGGAAATGTCACGACACAAAAACATTATGTTAGTATAACTAACCACATTATGGTGGGTCAAGTTATTTACAATGTCATTAAATGATTTTCCAGGAGTACCTAAATTTATAATGTTTTCATCATTGTAATTTTTAATTAATAGACCTAGCCCATGACCTAACTTGTCCGAGAATATAACTGCTTTACTTTTATTTAAGTTTGAGTTTTCAGAAAGCGCCGGCTTCAAAGGAGGGGTATTTGTTTCTTAGGTTTTCACGCACATCACTCCTTAAATAAAAGTAATTAGAACGAACTTTATTTATTTATTGACGTTTTGCAGCCTTTTCAGGTCTGCACCGTCAGAATAATGATTTTTTATTTAGGTACTTTGTCGAGCTACCTTCGAAAGACTTTTATTGAGCGTTCGAATATTTCATTGGAAGATTTTTAAAACTTTATTGTCTATGTATGAATTTATTAAATAAATAAAGAAACGCCAATAAATAAATAAAGGTCGTGCATAAACCCGTCAAAACTAGTTTTATTTAAGGAGGGGTATTATTAGTTGTAGACCAGAAATTTTGGAAACTTCATTATTATCTCTATTTTAATTTCCTTCTAATAATAATGACAATGGTGATTGATTTAAAGAACCAATCCATATTGATTTTTAATCAAGGACTTTGCACAATTCAAATAATTCTGTTATTTTATGTGGTCAGTTATTTGACTTTGTGCAAGCTTTTTCTTTATTAAGACTGTGTGAAAAAAACATTATCAGAATCTAGCTCTTAAATTTCGTTCACCTCTGCATTACCGCCGGAGAAGTTATGAATAATCATGCAGGTCACATACGAACATGCATCCTTTATGTAAACGAAAGTTTTAAATCGAGTTTTTGAACCCAACAAAGTGACATTTGGTTGACGATTTAGGTTACCAACCATTCATAGCCAAAGCTCAATAAATGAAAAAAAAACATTATTTGAATCGCATTATACTTTCATGTAATTTTATATTATATATGTCAATGGACTCCAATTTCTCCTTTTAAAGGGAAAGAAATGTGGTAAAAAAAAAACAGTTTTTTTATAAAAAGATTTATTTTATCCAGTTTCTCAATTTTTTAATGAATTTACTGATTCGGATATATTTTTTATTTTTTTTCACACTTGTTATACTATTATGTAAAACCTTCGTACTAGCTACAGGCTCTAAATTTAGATTTAAGTTTAAGAGACCTTTCACATTTTTTGCAAAAAATCGTAATATTTGAGCGCCTTGCTCACCCCCTTTCAAAAGATTTTGACTATTACCAATAGAAGTAAACAGTAGATTCATTCTTCCTATTGTAAGTTAATGTAGAATATTTGCAATTACTATTTTCTTTTTTTGTACTGATCGTTCTACCGCAGCTAGTTTAGGGAAAAAAATGGGTGCGTGTACTTATGTAGGCGCGTGAGAAGTTATCCTTCTTTGGCATCGTTTAAAATTGGTTTTTAATTGCATGCAAATAATAAATTATAATAAATTAATAAAAAGTCTGGAAAAGGACACAGTCAATAAAGTACAGTTTTAATTTGAAAAAATAAATAAATAATCAAAATATTCAATTAAAATCGCTACTGAATATAATTTATTAAAACATATGTGATTTGCACTTGTATGAAACTCAAACACGTATTCCGAAAATACAAACTAGAAACATGTGGATAAATATTATAAATATACCTTTATCTGTTACTTTATTACAAAAAATAAAGATGTGGTTTTTGGTTCTACTACACCAATGGTCAAGAGATGGCGCTGTAGTCTCCTGAATCGCGCTTTGGTTCCGTTGTTCCAGATTAATAAATACTTTTGATAGGCCTTCACAATGCAGTCGTTAGCACCCACTAAATAGAGATTCTATTTCTATTTTGTTGGTAGATTTTCTTAATGTGCGGTAAACACAAAAGTAACAGCATGAAGTTGGTCGAATTTTTGTGTTACAGTGATGCGCGCGCATCTTAAAATTTCACTCTCATCATTTTTTCATAACGCGCCTAAAGAAGTATAACTTCAAAAACGATTATATGCACAACTTCAAATTCACTAAATAATATTCAATAAATTAGATCATATTAATTACTACGATATCAGAAACATGTTTTTGTTGTAACATAATGTATTAGAATTTTGATTTTGCATCTCATTAATTATCAAAAAAAAAACATCTAACCTCCGTGAGTTTTACCAAAAAACAATGCAGGTTTACCTCGTATTTTGATATTGAATTAAATAGAATTACTATCAAAAACTTTCATAAAACTAATCTACCATCATTGAACTACTGAAATACGTATATATTTTTATAATTAGTTCATTAATAATTATTTTATAAGACTCGAAACATCACCCGTAAAATGCAATATATACTAGTGCAAATCTACCTACGCGCCGATCAGTACGGCAGCGGCGCAATTTTGTACTCGTGCTTGGGCCATAGCTATCTCGGTTAATGAGATACAGCCTGGTGACAGACAGACAGACAGACAGACAGACAGACAGACAGACAGACAGACAGACAGACAGACGGACAGTAATTTTGGTGCTTCTGATCAAAAAACCGCGACCATTTGTTTTTATAGGCTTCTCGTAATGTTAACCTGACACTGCCTAAAGAATTCTGAAGAGACCGAAACAGGCCGAAATCTGAAGGTGCATAGTCCGGACTATACTGCGGATAAATTAACACCTCCTAGTCAAACTCTCTTAATTTTTGCTGATTGGCTAAAGATGTGCAAGGTCTAGCGTTATCGTGATAAAAAACCACACCCTTACTGTTTATTAATTCCGGCCTCTTTATTTCATCTTCTTGCTCTTTTTCTTTTAATCTCATCAGTTGTTCGCAGTAGAGTTCAGAATCGATGATCCTACCTGGCGGTAACAGTTCATAATGAATAATGCCCTTCCAATCCCACCATACACACAACTTCACCTTTTTACGAGTTAATCTGAGTTTCGCCAGTCTGTGAAGTCTGACCGGCCTTAGACCATGACCTGTTTCGCATGTTCTTGTCGTACGTGATCACCAGTTATCAGCTTCTTCAAAAATAGTTCAGTTTTATTACGTCGTAATAAAGTATCACAAATGAGTACACAGTTTTATTAGATTTCTTTCAGTGAGCTCGTGAGGCACCCAAATATCGAGCTCTTTGTGTACCCAGCTTTTTTCAAATGCGACAAAACTGTTTTGTGGTCAATTCCCAGTTCCTCAACTTTTTCCCCAACCTATTACCTATATTGAGTGCCAAGTTCTGTACAAAATATTGTTTCATGAATTTATGTTTAATAGAGTTTAAGTTCTATTGGGTCAAAGGGGGATTATTTTTAGAAATAAAAACGATGAACACTAGATATGAAGAGTAGAGATGTTACTGTAATAGCAATTGTTGGCAATATCTAATGTGTTGTCTGGCACACACATACTAATGTTATGTATTAAACCAAATACCCAATACTTATTTCTTATTTTTTTACGGACACTAATAATTTAATAACACCACATTAAAAAGGGCATGATGCGTAATTTATTGAACATCGCAGGAACAGAATATAACAAATAATGTAAAAAAAATTATAAAAGACACTATATTTATCTTCCCTTATTATAAGTGTTATATCAAAGGAAATACCTGATGTTGAATTGAGAGTAAATAAAAACGAAATTTCAAAATTAAAATTATTTATTGAAACAACTTCAATTTTTAAATTAATATAATATTTAACTAAGCTAACGGGCATAGACTTAAAACTAAAGTAGGAAAGCGCAGTATGTAATGAAAAGATAAATACAAGTAGCCATAAGTACACAGGTTTAATTAATTAACTTACTACAACTTTAGGCATCATAATAGGACTATATTACGCTTCGAGGAAGATTAACAATGATTTATTAAATTAAGATTGAATTTACAAATGCGTAAAAATGACATTGGGACATTAAAATTAAAAAATGCTCGGTAGCTTAATTTACAGACACATATATGATAATACCTGATTCTAAACATTGTACACGGTAAAGTTTAACCACATAACTAAGTAATAAGCAACTTTCGATTTTTCAATACCTAAACATGGTGGTCATCAACAAGGAAGATTATATAATGAAGATTAATAAACATTAAATAAAAAGTTCTTACAGCCACTCTTATCACATATTACAACTTTATCTACTAGTTTGTCTACCATAGAAAATCTAAAATAACATTTTTACTTATAGCTTGTATACAAATTTGTAAACGAAATCTACAAAGTTTAATCAGATATTTTTAACGGGACTAACGTTTGAATGATACATTTGCTTATAACATCCAGCCTCGTTAAAAAAAAGATTTTCTGTGTTCATGTTAGTCATCCTTAACACGGGAAAGTCAAGTAAGTTGTGAAGCAATGTAGACAAAAAATAATAGGTAATGCATTATGCAATCGATTGAGAATCGTACAATTACGTTTCGCGTCAAAAAGGAATCGGTTTTATTGCATATAACACCTATGCGACGATTATATTCGATTAATTTGGCATCAAATAAGTTAACTTAGCTTAGGCAGCCTCGAGTGGAACTAAATGCAAAACATTGATACTCTGACACTGGGTTGGATAAGCGGACCGTACCATTATATTATTTATTATCTTGACCGAACTGAACTTAGCCGATATAACGTCCACTAGACGTTAGGATTTGCTGCCAGTTTGCTGGCCCTCAAGGCTTATGACAGATGGATAAAATGTCGAAGTCTAAAGATGGGTGACTGATGGATTGTATTGACGGCTGCATGAGAGTCTAATGGACGCATATTTAATTTTTTCATCAATCATAGCAGAGCGATACTGCATAAAATTTTAAATTTCTTACAAAATGAGAAAGCTATGATGCAGCCAATACATAACCAAACTATTAGCCGCAAGATTGCTTCGTTTTTCTCACATGTATTTACCAAATTTTCTTTAGTTAGACAGGGATATCGATGAAAAAAATAGCTGCCCAGCCAAACGGCTGATTTCAGACCGGTCAAGATAAATTTCTTACAAACTGAGAATTAGATTTTTTTTAAATGAGAAAACGTTGTCAACAATCAAGTGTTGTCGGCCATTGCAGTACAATTTAGTAGCACGGTCGCAGGAAGGCACAACGCTAAACTGCCTTATAATAATATCAAACAGACAAACAACATAAATACTATAGAAAAAAAATGAACTTTGTAATATTGTGTTCAATAAAAAACGCTACAATCATTTTTTTCTGTATCTGACTTTTTGGCTTAGAAACCGGACATTATTGTGTATTTCATTAAAATTGTAAACATAACACCAATGTCGGAGTCCGTTGATATTATTTTTCTTTGCTGTTAAAAATATCCAATTTTGCACATTACTGTTTAAGTTAAGTACCAAGTTGTATATTTCACATAATAAGGACAGTTTTAAGTCAACTCACACGCAACATTGAAAACATACAGGAGACTTTGTTACATTTAATAAATCAAGACTTTTGTATTTGAATTTCATAAATACACGGAAAAAAAACTACAAGAATTTACTATTTCATATTTTACACGATTATTAATTTTTCTATACAGTAAATTGTACCGAGTCATATGTTTTATAATAATAAATATTGATCCAAATAAATGTAACATCAGTCATACAAGACAAAGAACTATTGCTTATAATTCGTCAAATGTGACACACGAGGCAAATGTATTATTGGCCATTTGAATCCGCTAGCAGACAGAATTGTCCAATAACTTGATATAAAGATATAAGCTTAATGATACTGACCTGAACAACTATATGTTTTAAGATTTTAATCTTTAATTTAGAGTGATTCAAATGTTAAAGCGCATTCATACTCAACACTTAGGCTGTAATATTATTTTAACATTTATCATCTACTGTTGTATGATGACTAGCTAGGAACAGCTTATCATTTAATTTGATCGTTTATTTGTTACGAAAAGTAAGATAATTTGAATTTGGAACCTATGATGAAATAAAATTAAATATAGAAATCGACCACAATTGTTCAGGAAAGTATCGAAAAATCTAAATTTGGCGTGATGTTAAATAGCGCTCGCTTTGACGTGCTTGGTGGATAGGAACTTCTGTTCTATTGACCTCCGGGGAATCCCACTTACCTTTTTCGGGGAATACCCGTTGCAGTTGATAGAAGACGGCAACGATTTGTATCCTCCGTCGGAACTGTAATCCGTGTCTGTGGATTGACCGTTTAGACTTGGACTGTGTCTGTTACCATTGACGCTTTCTTTACTACTGATTCTGCCGTTATATAAGTCGCCGTAGGAAGTGTGGTGTTTTAGTAGTGAATTCTCTTCTATGACCGCGTGTCTGAAAGCGTTTTCTGTATACACTTGCTGGTTGGAATTCTGGAAGTTCTCTATTGAACGCGATCGGCTATTGTATAAGGACATTCGTCGTTCCGTCTTCTCACCCACGGACGAGTCCCGTTTGATGTAACGTCTATTCGTATCGCTATTGGCCAAAGCTTGGAGGTACTTCGACCCGACCCTACTGTTGGTCTTGAGATGCACGTCTGTCCGTTTGTCGTCGGATGTGTCGTTCACTTTCTTTGCACCGCACTGGCATTTCACCGGCCCGTTTGTGGGTCTCTTAGTCTTTTGTGCTTCACTATACGTCGGCAGCTTCCTTACGCCAGCTTGTTCATTCCAACTGCAGATGAAAATTTGAATTTTTAAAGATTTACATTTTTAAAGGCATTGGTAGATAATTATGTTTACTGTTATTGGCTACCACAATACAGAAATGGCCTGGTGAGGAAGCCGTAGATAACTTTACTACAATTTTATATTTTTTGTAAATTACATGTTGTTTATATCATTATGAAACTTTCTTTTTTTTTTTAAAGAAAGAAGTCTATTTTACAAGTCGACTAAATACGATTATGACTAGTAAGTACAAATATTTATATAATATTGTCAATGATGGTCTGTATAAAGGTCAATTACACTTTAAAAATTGCTAATAATATTGTAAACTACTAGTTATTATTATTTTCATTTGTTTCGAAGAATCTAAATTATACGTTAGCCTCACCTTTACGTTCTGGTATGGCAGCGTGTAACACAGATACCAAATTTCACAATCCAAATTAATAAGCAAATTTCATCATCACTTCTAACCAGTCAGTTCGGACAACACACGACTACTCAAACAGCATCAGACTAATTCGGAAACCAAACAAGCAATACCTAATCGACAATAATAATAAGTATTAATAATGAGTGCCTAAAGTGCGCCGTGCCCCAAACATTAAAAATATCGTACATTAGTGGAAACTATTAGCACCTGTTTTTATCGCACCCATAATTTTGCCCAATTTAGCATAGATACAATTAGATTTAGAATATTAATAAAAAAAAGCTCTTTGATTTCTTTTCTTTATTTCAATATGGACTTCATTTTGTATTGTAGACACTGTGCGTCTGAAAACGTTGATTTGTTTTTTTACTTTAATCTTAATTAAGTGATTATTTCCATTTTGTGCATAAATAAATAAATTATTTTGAATTGAATCAAATTCACCTCTAAGTATATGAGAGGTTATAAAATCGCGCCTTGTGTAACACCTTAATAGAAATGAGAACTTTATTGGTCATAATATTGTTATAATTTCCTATAATAGTAGACATATTTTGTTTTATTTTCACTTATTATTTTAATACTTAATTTGAGATTGGCTATCTATAACAGGCACAATTAGGCAATAAAATTTAACTTCTATTTACAATCCGCTCATAGTTCAATTCTTGCATGCTGAAAGATTACTTGTAGTAGTAGTACTTGTGGCAGTATTCCTCGACGTCCCTTTATGATTCGTCGAAGAGCGAAAAGTCGCTAATATAATAGGCACACTTAGTTATTAAAATTTTAGTTCTATGTACAGTCTTTGAATTGTTCAATTCTTGCATGCTGAAACTTTATTTGTAGTAGTATTTGTGGCAGTATTCCTCGACGTCCCTATCGAAGAGCGAACAGTCGCCGGTTTTGTAAAGGAGATGCAATAAGCACAACACATTGATCGAACACAAAAGGCATACGGCGAGCAAGCAGTCGAGCCACGCTACCTGATCGGATGCACGAACCCTCGAACCCAAGTGGAAGCTGCTGATGTCAACATTACGACCGTTATCCGATCGAGATTTAAAGCAGCATGTGAGGAAATCAGAGAATAATGAAAAATCGTAAGTTATAATGAGATGGATGGAGATGGAGACGATGATGGTACTATATTTACAGTTGAAGAAATGATAGATGGGTAAAATTAATATACATGGATGGCATTTTAAATTTTGATAGAACCCGTAACGTTACTAATAATTAAATAAGTGAAAACAATTAATTAAAGACCAAATGATTTAAGAAATTAAGTATTTTCAAATGTAGTACTTAAATCAGGAATAAGATTTTAAAATATAATACCAGTGAAATAAGGAGCTACAGAGAACGTGATGCGACACATTGAAGTTGGAGCAAAAGTCATTTTCCTGTTCATGTAATCCCTGAATATAACGATCCATTGAGACTTAGCTAAATGATTTGATAATGATTGGCTTCTTGAGTATGTGTGAATTATACATTCTTTGCATTGTGATAAATAATACGAAGGATATATCGGTGTTATGTATAAAAAGGTAATGGTGGATTGCAATGATTTTAACAGGATCTTTAATGAGTGCACCGAAGCGACGAAAAACCTAAAACAATAAATAGATACATAAAGTGATATACATAAATAAAAAATAAGTGTAGCATAAACCGCTAATGGAATTAATAATAGCTTGTAAGTTGGTAGTGATGTGAATTCAGGAAATGAGGATTTAACTATAATAATAGTGAGCAAAAACTTTGATTATTGTGTTGTAAAGTGACTGTTGACTAATAAGTGCTTGCGTTTGGCATTAATAATAGGATGTGGTTACCTCACTAATCCGGAATTTTCAGAACTCGTTAGCGCAGTGCTCATCGGTGGCCGCAACTGAAATAGAAACGTTAGAATCTTTAATTTCATAAACGAAGGGTGTAATAAACACGATTTGATGACAATCCCCTTTGTTATCAAGTAGCTGCCAGATAAAATATATTATCCAGTTTATGAAAAAGGTAATTGTAATTATACAATATTAAAAGAAAAACATGTTTAAGAAACCAGATTAAACAAAATTAAGCCTTTCTGGTAGAACCATGGTGGAACATTGATTTGATAATTGAGAGCCGTGAATGATTGTAATTACGTCAAGATAAGCACTTCTTTAGGAAATTATAAGCGATGTAACGTAAACTTCGTTTATATACGGCATTAAATATCACAATATATCGTAAGTCAAAATTGGGTCAAGCGTTGAGTCCGGAATGCATGCTCACCTCTCGTCTACGAATAACATTCTTTATTTCTACTTTTCTAAAGCGAAGGTGATATGATTTGACAATTATAGGGCTAATGCCCAATCCAGTTAAATGATTTGCAGATAACTTACGGGAAGGTTAGAGCAGTACTCATGCGCTTTTTATAAAAATAACGTAAGCGCTTGCCTTGAAAAACTGCAGACAAGCATATGATCTGCCTTATGATCAGCCTTTTTATATTATATATTTATATATATATTTTCAGTCAGCGCGCGGCTCGTAGCTCTCCGCCATCCGCAGCAGCTGCTGTTGCAACACGCGCGCCAGCCGGTCGCGCTCCTCTAACTGTGAGAGTGTGTGTATAGTTGTCTCGCTCACCCTGTCAGTCTGCGTGGCGACGTTGCATGTGTCGTCAGCGCGCGGCTCGTGGCTCTCCGCCATCCGCAGCATCTGCTGTTGCAACACACGCACCAGCCGGTCGCGCTCCTCTAACTGCCCCTGCGGATAAACACAACAATAATAAAAATAAATGATTAAGATTGCGTAAGTGTAGTGAAACACTTGAATGGAACGAAGTTGAAAAAAAGCAATCCGCACTAAGCCCGCGTGGCGAGTCATAACCCAATCTCCCTCCCTATCTCTTAAAAGTATCTTAACACCCATCCCCACTGGGTCCAGCGTAGAATGGGCCCACTTCGGAAACGGTCCAGTGCGGTATGGGCCCACTGCGGAATGGGCCCACTGCGTAATGGAATCAGTGTAGAATGGGCCCAGTGCGGGCGCTCCCGGTCCATCACTTACGAAATAAAACTTTAAACCATGTCCACTACCCCCGCTGCCATTTGTTCGGCTCGCTGACCATCTAGCCGCCCAGCTGCCTTCGGCTGCTAGCAGCTAGCTGCTTCGCAAGGTTGTGACGGTAAATTTTCACCCCCTTTTAGGCCCCATGTGCCATACCGTCCGAAAAGGAATTTCGTTCCAAAAATATTTGCACAGTAGACGTTTCTGTGTGTGAAATTGCTACAGCACAGGCTTCTATGGCTGTTGATGGTTTATGTTTGCCGGGGTATCAACGGGTACGTTCCTCGTAGACCTCTTTTACGACCCGACGCACCGGTAGCGAAGCTTCGGACATCATTCACAATATAATGTAAAGTCTGCTCTTCAATAACACAGTCACTTGATAGACTCTTTCATCTCCATTCGTTTCATATAGAAATAGACACTGTGTAAGTACCTGCAGATAGAGTATCTGCCGGCGCATCTCGGCGCAGGCGTCAGGGTGCAGCGGCGAGGCGGGGGGGCGGCGCCCGTTGCCGCGCGCGGGGCTCTCCGCGCACGCCGCCAGCAACGGGTCGAGAGTTTCACTCTGCAATAAACGTCCTTATTATATAGCCACTATGGTTCAAAATCGTTAGTCGTGGAGCTCGATGGCGCAAGTGGTTAGCGCGTTCGGCTGCGATCATTGAAGTTAAGCAACTTTTGCTGTTGTCGGTCATCGGATAGGAGACCAAAAATTTACTATCTCGAGCTCCTCCGACCTTCGGAAGGCACGTTAAACCGTTGCTCCCGGCTGCATCTGCAGCACTCAACAAGCCGCACTGGGCCAGCGTGGTGGGTAATGGCCCAATTCCCCTATTCCATCTTTTGGAAAGGCTTGTGCCCCAGCAGTGGGGACATTAATAGGCTGATGATGAACGTTTAAAATCGATAGGTTTTGTGTCGTCTGAAGAGCTACTATGTAAACTGGTACAACAAACAACTTTAATGATTGCAATTCTTTAAGTTACCCCCGGCCAACAGATGAAACTGAGAACTGAAATATAGAAATTACTAATAAGAACAAATTATTGGATGTCATTCGTCAATAAAGAAAACGTATACTATTTTTGAGTATAATATATGTACCTCCACATTCACTTGAAATTAAGGTTGGTGCACAAATTATATCGAATCGGAAACTGTTTGGCACCGTATTGTCTATCGCGTCAACTTTACGCAAGCACGTAAGTTTTAAACTTTAATAACCTTAAAGTTGTGACACTATCGTCACCGTATAGAAAGAAAGCCCCCGGATGAATGTTGTTGTTAATATGTATCTTGACCAATTCCTTAATTCCATCAGCGATGTTGTACCCAAGCATATGGTAAAAAATATTTAGATTTAAACAATAATTATAATCTACTATAGCCCCAACACCAAACATACACATTTGTTAATAAGTGGCTGTTAAATTTTTCATGATCAATTTTCCCAAAAAAAAACCATCAAGTTCGAGTCGGGTCGGATATCACATTAAATACCTCGTACCAAATTTCAAAATTCTAAGTTCACGGGAAGTACCCTGTAGGTTTTGATTTCCGTGCGAGTTTCGAAAATTTGCGGAAATTTGAGGCATAAACGGCTGTATCTTTTGATTGCTTTGGATTAGAAGTTTGATTTTTTCTCAGCTCCAAGGGACAGTAGACCTGAGTATTAGATATGAATTTCAATTTGATATATCCACGCGTTCCTGACAAAAACGGTCTTGACAAACGGACGGACGGACAACAAAGTGATCCTATAAGGGTTCCGTTTCTTCCTTTTGAGATACGGAACGCTAAAAAAACAATAAAAACACTCAACAATCAAAAGAAATAATCCTTATACTGATACTTTGCTTTTATGCCTAACGTAGGAGGGAGATCACAAATAAAAAAGTTTGTAAAAGACATCAACGACAATTGTACCTAATTTTTTTTTGTATCAAAGTGAATAGGATAGTTAACATCAACACCAAAGAAACAAATATTAGAGTGTTAAAGAAACGGGCACCCTAAGTAGGCCCTGTAGTTAAATACAATAACAAGAATTACTTAGGTATTATTATGAATGAGTAATAAGGCTTGGCCCGAGCTAAGTCTTTGAAATTCAAAAAAAAAAGAGAAAACATTTACAACATTACGAAGAAGGAAGAATAATTTACGGCAGATTTGAGGTCAGATATGGTAAGAGGGTAAACTTTTATAGGTAAAAAATGGTACCCCATGATTCACGGGAAAACACTGAAAAAAATTGGCAAAGTTTTAGGTAATTAAGATATCCACAACTTTTGTTTTGATATTTTTTCACATATCCTATTTCTTTTAATAACTTTAATGCAATAATTAAAAAAATACTATATCCCATACAACTTTAAAATATTATAGACTGATATCTTACAAACAATTAAGTTTTTAACGTATTAGTTGTTAACCCTAGCAATATCTATCAATTTTCAATGTTTTAGTTTAACAATTTATCATGGAATCTTATGTTTTCGTGAAGATCATCAAAGCGTATTTTTCTGCTAAAAGGTCAAAATTGCAAATGCCGTAAAAAAATCTAAATCATGTTTTTTTTCTCTTTATTTTGCATTTTCTGAGAAAAAAAAAGGTTAAAAAAAATACAATAAACCCAAGCTAAAGAATCTAAAGTAGCTTTGTTCCTTACTTACCAGAGTTATTAGACTACTGGACTTGTCTTTTATTTTCAGTTTTTATTGTTATTATTTGAAGTAATAATTAAGCAGTCGGGTTTTTAGATTTTTTAAATTTACCTTTTTTCCCCCATAAATTTAGATAACCTTGGTCACCTACAGATAGGGTTTCCATATAGTATAGTATCCTACTATATCAGGGGATCAAATACTATATATCTAAAAAAATATATAGTAGGCGAAACTACTATATTTTTCCTAAAGCAGATATTAGCCAGTAAAAGCTTTCTTAAAAATAAAAATATAATTATTAAGGCATTGAGCACCAAAAATACATTCTTTCAAAAATAATGCCAATATTTTAACCATATACTATATGTTTTTCCATTTTGTGCCATCTACTATATTTTTAGTGGTAATAGCTTCGAAAATACTATATTTGATAGAAAAACCCAACCCAACCTACAGAAAAATATTAGAACAAGACTTCACCTGAGACATTGTTAGTATGGGCTTTTTAAAAATGTAGGGAAGGGAAAACGCTCTAATTTGTATCTACATTGTCATGTAGTTCGTATGTTGAGAATCCCACAAGAATAATATCTCTAATATTACCTACAGAATAAAAAATATTGAAGTCTTAATTCAGGGAATCTCATTTAAGCCTAAACGAGTTATAATTATATTTATTCCCTTTTCATTTTGTGTGATTAACCATGAAACCATGAGAGTATGAAAGCTTTCACATTTACAATATTAGTAAGACTAGGACAGTGACACTGCAAACACATCACCGATGCCAAACAAATACCCACAGCACAGTCAGTAACCCAAAGGCGGTCAATTCGTTAGCTCACCTAGTCTATAAACAAACACGTGTATTGCGGGTGCAAAAGAATTCTCGTATAAAAGACAGTTATAAAAGGTAATCGTTTCCCGTAACCAAGCATATTTGTAAGCAGGTGCCTAAAAGAGCGTCGCGTAGCTACTTACACTCATCGAATGATGCTCCTCCCCGGGCTTGGTGCGGCAAACAAGGCGATGGATGCAACCAAACAAAACATGTTACACACAGACGATACGTGCCAAGCGAAGCGCTAACAGGAGCGAGTATACGACAACTGACAATACGAATTTGTAGGTAATTGAATTACACAAACTTTTTAACACTTAGAGCGGCCGTACACGGACTGCTCGAGCAGTTAGCTAGAGATCAACATCACGGACCGCTCTAGCAGTCAGACTCAACAGCTTGAAGCTGCCATTACTACGCGCTGCCAACAACCAGAAGCAGTCGCAACTGCTTAAGCAATCCATGTGTGTGTACGTTCGTCAAGCTGCCCGTGTATGACCATTTTTAAAACACACGTCACACTTTAAGGCCAAGAAGATAATCTTGTAAATTATAAATCTCACTTGAAAACTTAGATTTTGTTATGAATTTGGCACATCCTTGTGGCATCGAGCTCTACTTCTCATTTTCATAATTTTGCGCTATGTTATTTTTATCAAGGGCTAATGCCTTATTCCCCAACTGATGTTAAATGCTACTACAGTCCAGATAATGTCTATAAAATGTATTTAAGAGTGTAAGATACAATTTTAATAGTACTTTAAATACTTAATATGAACTTATGCACTGTAGATTACTTTTGCGATGTTGTTGTGTATACGCGCTTCTGTTGCGACATGGACAATAAAATAAAATGATGTTTTCAAATAAATATACAAATAATAAATTAACACAATTTTGCCATAATAAAAATATACATACTGTTTTATCCTTATTATTAAAATGTATTTAATATAAAGGACAATAACAAACAGGTTATTTATTTATGGAATTAAAGAAGTTAGTTCAAACAAAAAAGGAAAACTCGTATGTACAATAAAATAGTCATAATAAATGAGTGCGTATCTTAATGCATTAAGAAGTTGCGCATTGTCTCAACGTAACAACGTTATCGATTTTGGCTTTTTGTAATCTGATCATTATATATCTTTTATTTTTAATTGAGGATGAGTTAGCAAATTTTTTTATCTCGTATAAGAGCATGTTGTGTAATGTTCTATACATCCAAGTATAGCAATCAAAACGTATTTTAGAAAGTGTTATATACTATTATTAGAATCATGAACCACAAGCCTAAAATTGTGTGTTTAGTTATAATATGGCTTCTTTTTGGATAAACTTAACGCTGTAAGATAATGACAATGGATTCAAATATATTTTCAAAAGACTCAAAATACTCATGAAAATATTTTGAGCCAACAAATCTGAATATATTTAAAAAAAACTGTCAACATTATTCTTAAGGATAAACAAATGAACACTAAAATAAAGGTACAATTGCTAATTTACAGGTTAGGCAACAATTGCCTACCAAAGGCAAATGTTTTTATTTATTTTATTTGACAGTTATTATTGAAAGCAACATTCAAAGTGTCTCTGTCTCCATGGTTATGACTTTACATACGATCATTGGCTACTACACAACATACGAGTGTCATGCATAAGGTAACAATGTAACTGTAACTTCATGGGAAATGGGACTGTAATTAACCAGTTCTACATGATTGCTAGCAACGGCTAAGTAAGCATGCTACATTGGTCACTCGGGAGGGGAAATTGCAAACGTACTTCCTCCTCAGTTATGTCTACACTACTACACATATTATTCATGCCGTTGTACTAAGCAAAAAAAAAGAAAATACGAAATATGCAATTAATATAATTGGTACAGTAACGATTTAGCGATATTTGTTATTAATTACCAACAATACCAACTATTACAAGTAACATTAAATAAGAACACATATATTTCGTCGAATGAAACAACAATCTTAGATATGTATCTCTATGGATATAACTTAACATACCTGATGTGATACCTACACTATTTTCGATACGCTACGTTACTTTAAAGATTTCGTGTAGTAAATATCATCACGCTCAAACAAGACAGCATCGCATAGTATGTATGGGTAAAAAGTGCCCATAGTATGTATGGGCAAAAAGTGAGAAGATGAAGCAACGAAATGCGTTTATTATATGCTATTTCAAGTAGCTTAAGTAACTATACATTGATATTATCAGTATTTATATCTACATGACTTTGGGAAAATACAAAATAAACTATTTTTTAAAATGGGAATTTAGAACACTAGAAGAATTACTAAGAAATGGTAATGCAAACTGTAGGTACAGACAGACAGTTGTGGCATGCTAAAGTGACCACTTTTTTTTCATGTAAATTTACGACATCTACTTTCACATCTACTATCATTAAACATCTAATATCACTAGAGTCAGAATAAAAAATGTTGTCATTTCTTAGATAATGTTAGTTATAGAAGTAAATATGCAGATTGTACTAATTAGAACATACATAGAGACATAATGAAATCAATACCAATTTTTTTAAAGTATAAAATCGTTTATCCTTCCAACTCTCTCTATTCATCTTTATTATGACAAATAAGGTTCATAAGAATATATTCTCTTAATTTGCATATAAAAATCTATAAGACGATTTGTTGAATTTCATTACATTTTGCAAGCTCAAATTATAGATTTAATTTCGGTCACAAATCAAATATAGCCTTTGGATATACTTTTAAGATAGAAATTCTTATTACATACCTCCTGTAAGACCCGCTTGAGTTGCAGCAACAGTGTTTTGATGTCGACCACATCTTGGAGCAGGGTTGCAGGCGCGGGCGCGGGTGCTGGCGATGCGGTGCCGTCACTCGCAGCTTCGGACGGCGTCTGGGTGCGCGACCGCTGCAGGAGCCGAGCCGTGCGTACGGGCAAGCTAGCTCTGAAATAATAAACGTACTTATAAGGCAGGGAAAAATAATGTTTACAACAACTTTCTGAAAGACTGTTCGGCGATAAAATTCACAAACATGCCGTCACAATTTATCGTAAATGTCAATTATGTTGCTGAAAGCCTAATAGCCTATCCAAAATTGTTACAGCAAGCGCCATTTTGAATGTCTAGATTTTTTTTAATCTTTGCTTCAGAAACTCAAATTGGTTTAACACTGTTAAAATGATAGGCATGTTAGTTGAATAATAATTTGACAATTCTTTCAGAAAGTGGGCATGTATGTAGTCGTCATTCATTAGTGCATAACGTTCGATAAATCGGACGCCAATAAAATTGTTATTTTAGGAGTTATATATATTTTAGTGACCGTTTATTTTTTTTAAACAGTAGTGTAAAATATATTTGAAGTGGTAATACTATTGGTATGACATTCCGGCAACGCGCCTGCGCGTCAATTGTCAATTTGAAAAATGGCGGCACGCGGTCAAAATTTTTCGCGGCGAAGGTAAGATTATATTGTGTTATTGTTGTATTTTGTGATGTTTTATGGGTAAAAAACGGATATTTTGCTTGCTAAACCATTACACTATTTATTTTCAATATAATTTTTACGTGGCCCCTGTTATTTTGAAGGCTATGCTTGCTAATTATGCACTGTCCGATATATCGCACGCTATGCACGGCGGGTACTGCATGTGGTATTTTCTCGAATTGTTACAGCTTGCAAGTTCATGAAATATTATCTGCTTTGGAGTGTGAGGAGTATGATAATTATACAGAAAATATAATTTACGTTGAGCCCCCTATTGAGCATGCCGATCAGGTCACTGATGAAGACAGTGACAAGTCCGACGAGGAGCATGGTGCGAACCTAAATCACTAAGGACGAAGACTGCTGCAAACTAGCTGCGAACTGCAACGTTTTCGAGGTGATACAATTGTTTCTATTCCATCAACGTCTACAGCCTTCGGTTCAAATACGCAAAGATCGTCAAATGATAATTCTTTATCAAGTAGCGATAGTGAAGACGAGCAGCCCCTTTCTAATTTCATTTCCCACAAGTCATCAAGGTCTGCACCCCCAGCTAAAAAGAAAAAATCTACACATTGGAAAAAAGAGGAACCCGCTTTTATTTGTACTGATTATCGTCCACAGCCACCATCAGATGAAAGTAAAGCATGTCAAAATCCACTAGAATACTTCAAATTATTTTTTCACAATGATCTTATCAAACATATAGTCAAACAAACAAACCTGTACGCTTTGCAAAAAAATAAATCTTTGATGGTAACGGAAGACGAGATCTACGTTATATTAGGAGCGATGCTATTGTCAGGCTACGTCAAGTTGCCAAAAAAAACGATTGTATTTTTGCAAAGATAATGACGTGCCTACAATTCTACAGGATAGCATTAGATGCAATCGGTTCGAAATTATTCTTCAACACGTGCACTTGAACGACAACAGCGAGCTCGGTGAATCTACAGATAGATTGCATAAATTACGTCCTATTATTGAAAGTCTAGGTGAATCATTCCAAAAACACTACGGAATGGATGAACAGTATAGCATAGATGAAAGCATGATCCCTTACTATGGGAAACACTACGCTAAACAGTTCATCCGTGGAAAGCCAATAAGATTTGGTTTCAAAAACTGGGCAATGTGTGCAAGTACCGGATATATGGTAGCTTTCAGCTTATACACGGGAAAGAGTACCGAAAAAAAAGATTTTGGACTAGGTGGCGATGTTGTTCTCCGACTAATTAGATTGAGCAAACTTCCGCCTAATAGTGGCATAAAATTGTTTTTTGACAATTATTTTACATCTTTGAGCCTAATGAGACACCTGAAGGAGATCGGCTATTATGCTACGGGAACCTTGAGAGCTAATCGCACTGAAAACTGTACTGTCAAAGACGTAAAACAATTCAAGAGGGAAGCGCGAGGTCATTACGATTACCGATTAGCTGATGATGTCTTCGTATGCCGGTGGAATGATAACAATTTTGTCACAGTAGCCACTAACTTTGAAAATCTTGCAATTACATCTGCAACCCGCTGGTCTAACGAAAAAAAAGCTAAAGTGCAAGTCCCTCAGCCATCACTTATTTCAAATTACAATAAGTATATGGGTGGAGTAGACAAATGCGACCAGGCCGTGGCAAACTTACGAACTCGGATGCGAATAAAGAAGTGGTGGTGGCCCATATTTGCATATTTAGTAGACGCGTCGGTAGTAAACGCCTGGTTACTTGCTCGGAAGAATGGCTGCACGAGAGACACCGAGTCCTTATTCGTTTTTAGACGGTTCATAGCAAGAAGCTTGCTTTCCACACATGGCATACCGCCGCATCAAGGGCGCAAGCCAGCAAAACCAATATGTACAATGAGATACGACGGTAAAGAATATTGGCTGGTCCCAATAAATACTGAACGTCGCTGTGCAAATCAATGTGGCGGGAAAAGTAAATTCCAGTGTCAGAAATGTGATGTAGGCCTTCACCCGAAATGTCACATGGCATACCAAATCGTAAATTAAAATCTATTTATTTTCTCTTGCGTATTATAGTAAATTTATTCATGAAAGTCGTACTTTTATTTTGATATTTTTTTAACATCTACAGTGTCCGCCGTGCATAACGTCCGATTTATCGGACGGGCTATAAAATCTAAACTTTCATATTGATTAAATATTTTATATAATTTAATGGTCAAATACACTCGAAATGAAAATATATTACAGTGATCATAATGAAAAAGGCGTTAATAATCTTTATGCACTAATGGGTTAAGTTATGTCTATGGGGGTCAAATTTATACTAAAGTAATGAAAAGTTTACTAGAAAAAAATCCACGCGGACCAGGCAGCGGACGGGACTCGAACCCGCATCCTTCGCTATCCGGGGGAATTTAACTGCTAGATGTTTAAATTCTTTAGATTTAAACATCTAGCAGATAAATGCTTAAAAAATAAATAAAATCATAATTATACTAAAGTAGTTTTTTTATCTCATGGTGCATTTTATCTTTGATGGTACATCGCCACGAATTATTTCGTAACCTTAGCATTACATCTTTAATTGTTATTAAAAAATCAAGACGTTATCAACAAGCATCTGTGGTTCAGTGGTAAAAAGCTCGCCTGCTTTTATAGCCAGAAAAGATTTGAGGTGATGTACACTTTAAAAGCATCGTGTTTATTCCTCAATAATAACAAGACATATTTGTTTCTTAGGTTTTCACGCACATCACTCATTAAATAAAACTAGTTTTTACGGGTTAATGCACGAAACTTTATTTCATTATTCTGACGATGCAGACCTGAAAAGGCTGCGAAACGTCAATAAATAAATAAAGTTTCGTGCATTAACCCGTAAAAACTAGTTTTATTTAATAACAAGACATGTTTCCTAATTTCAGTTTTATGCAGCTGCAGATTACGAGTACCTAAGATGCATTGACTAAAAATAAATTTTAAGAAGCGATAGTGAACTGCATCTAAAATCTTGATGTATCGATTTATGTCTTTAATTATGAAATCTTTTTCGTAGCATGGGTAGTGAATATATCACTTTTTTTACTACTTACAAAACTTCTTATAATGTTCTTATTACGTCTAAGAGTAAATTGTTGTACACTGAAACAATTGACATCTATACTAGAGGTATTACGAAAGGCATCGTCGATCGATTTATCTTTATGTCTGTCATTCGTCGCCTCTAGGGCTTCACAAACATTGAAGATCTCGTTAAGTGGTTGAGTAATTGAATTTGTACATCTTCCTATGTCGATGATAAATAGCTCCAGCGCATACATATTACAAAGTTTTTTTGCATACGAAATACAGGTATTTTAATTACGCTTGTTTGATGATACATTTTGTAATGGGTTAAAAAGTTTGTTATATATATATATTATAGCCATTGACGATTCGGGTACGTCAAGTGGGTTCGTATATAATTACATTTCTGAAGTAAATTTTAGAAAATCATCTCGCTACGACCAATAGCAGTGGAGGGTCAATGAAAATTTTTACAAAAACTGGGGAAAATAAAATACTTTTCAGAGCTTCCTTTGCGTGCGTCATACACGACTAGGGTAAACATCTTTCTGGATTTGTCCGGCTTCTTTTAATTAGATGGAATATGAGAAAAACTACTTATTAAGTTATATCAAATAATCTCATCAATTTAAAACAAAATATAAATCATCTTTAAAAATCAACAACGAGACCGCCCTCGCGATGCGAGCGTCTGCTACTCGTACCACGCGTATCATATCACTGTAACTAAGTGGGTGATGTTTGCATTTTGTGACTAAAATGTCCGGACTTTTATCGAAATGTCCGGCTTTGAACCAGGACTTTTCAAATTTTTAGATAGTTACCATATACACGACGGATTGTTTCTATTAAAAATTTGTAAACAAAAAGTCCGCAGAAACATTTCTATCTTTTATGGTTGATCACTCAAAAATCAAATTAACGCAGATGAAAACGCTGTTTTTTTGCAATGAAATTTGTTTATCACTGCACTGCATAGTAGATACATGATATTATTATGTATGTACTTACATATTTTAATGCGAAGCGCCTCGTAACGTGAAAATCTCAACTAAATGAGTGGACAAAATAAACTCATGCAAGGTAAGGTGTGGCTAACTCATAGTATATAAATATAAGTAGATCGTTTAATTGAAACATAATTTTAAGATATTGGAACTGTAATTCATTGTCTGAATCATCGTGTCATTTGTTTTCAAATAACACGATCCATCGGTCCATGAACTCATCAGGCAAAATGATATGAAGATAAGTTTAATTTGCGCTATCACGCTTTCTTCCTTAATAGAAATGCTTGTGACGACTCAATTTCAGGTGACATTAGGGCGTAAACATGGCACTCCCGTGGTAATTCATTAACGTAAAAGGTTGGCAAGAATGACACCACCTGTTTCCGAGGCAAAAAATATGAACGAAAACTTA